GAAGGCTTTTAGCATGCTTGCTTTCAATGTTCAGAGTGCTGAGTACAGGAGTTGGGATGTCTTGTTGCAGCTGTACAAGATGTTGGTGAGGCCACATTTGGAGTACTGTGCACAATTCTGGTTACCCTACTATAGAAAGGATATTATTAAAGTAGAAAGAGTGCAGAAAAGATTTACTCAGATGCTACCTGGACTGGAAAGTTTGAGTTATAAGGAGAGCTTGGATAGGATAGGCTGCAACTTCTTTCCCTGGAGCATAGGAGACTGAGAGGTCCTTATAGATGTCTATAAAACCAAGAAAGGCATAGATAATGTAGATAGTCAACAGTTTTTCCCCATGATAGGGGAGTCTAAAACTAGAAGGCATTTAAGGTGAGAGGGGAGAGATACAAAATTGACTAAAGGGGCAAATTTTTTCACACAGAGGGTGGTGAGTGTCTGGAACAGATTAAGGATAGCAGGTCAGGATTGAAGAAAATCTGAATAAGAGACAATAGGAGCTAAGTGTGAGAAAATGGGTTAGCTGTACTGAATGCAACCCATATAATGTGAATAATGTGAATGTTCTGAGGAAGAGTCACAGGACCCGAAATGTTAACTCTGTTTTCTCCTTCACAGTTGCTGCCAAATCTGCTGACCTTTTCCAGCAACTTTGTTTTTGTTCCATATAATGTGATAATGGGCCTAGCAGTGCATGGGAATGGGTGACTGAGACTGGGTACAGTGATAGGTATCAAAACACGGAAGAATGGAATCAGGCTCTAAAGTTATTTCTTCCTACCTTTACTTTAAGTTTTGCTCATCCTCACTTTGAACAACTTCTCCTTTAACTTCTCTTGCTTCTTTCAGGTTAAGGGGGTGACCACAGTACCCACGTGGGCCTCAGTTATGCCTGTCTCTTTGTGGGGTACGTGGAACATTCCTTGTTCCAGTCCTACTCCAGCCTCCACCCCAACTCTTTCTCCAGTATGTTGATGATATCATGGGTGCTGCTTCCCTGTCTTCTTTGGAATTGGAAAAAATTGAACAATTTTGCCTCTAATTTCCACCCCACCCTCACCTTTATCTGGTTCATCTCCAACTCCTCCCTACCATTCCTTGACATCTGTTTCCATTTCTGGGGATAGGCTTGCCACCAATATCCATCACAAACCAACAGACTCCCCCAGTTACCTTGACTGTACATCCTGACACCCTGCTTCCTGTAAGGACACCATCCCATTCTCCTAGATTCACCATCGACAGATGACTGTTCGGAGGACACCACCTTCCAAGTGGCGGGGGTGTGGGTGGGAGTCGTCCGAAATGGCCACCATTTTCCTCAGCTGAGGACTCCCCACCATCACAGTTGACAGGGCCCTCAGCCATGTCTGACCCATTTCCTGTACTTCAGCCTTACCCCTTCCCTCCCTTCTTCCTGCAACAATGGTGTGGTCCCCCAGGGCCTCACTCACCACCTCACCAATCCACTGGTTCTCCTTTGTCTACAGCACAAGTTACTTCTTTAAAAACTCCAAGAACTAGTTAAACATAATTTCCTTTCGACAAAACTATGTTAGATCTGCCTGAATACCTCGATTGTGCCTTATTGAAGCCGACGTGTTGAAGTTTTGATTGGTAAGTACCAAGCCTGATTATTTGTTGCAATCCGGTTGGTTGTTGCTTCCATTTGCTAGGATTTGTTCATTAGGAAGTCCGCAGCAATGCTAATGTTTTCCCTTAAACATGGCTTGTTTAGTGCACTTTGTGGTACATTCTAGATTGCTGTGTGGCCAAGTACCCACACCACTGAGAGAGAACATTGGTTAGTGATGTGAACACACACAAGGCATGTTTCTGGCATTAGCCAATTTATAAGCCTCAACAATACCTCACTTGGTGGCAGCTTTCACTTTTCCAATGCTATTCCAGCCCTACTGAACACTCTTATGTGTATATCCTACCATCCCCCACCCCCCACCAATCAAAATTGGTTCTTCAAATGCCCTAATTTTTATCCTAGTTTTTAAACTAGAGAAGTGATAGTGATCATTTCTCTGAACTGGTTATCAGTATTCCTACGGTGTTCTTCTGAGGGTGTGGATTTGATTCTTCCCATGACCAGTAGAAAGATTTGATGTCAATAAAACCTGGAATTAAAATCTAGTCTGATGGTAACCTTGTCATAATAGTCCATCTGGTTCACTAATGTTCTTTAGAGAAGGAAGCCTGCTCCTCTTCTATGGTCTGACCTAATTGTGGCTCCAGACCAACAGCAGTGTGGTTGAATTTTCATTGCTCTCTGAAATGACCTTGCAAACTACACAGTTCAAAGGCAATTGAGAAAGGAAATGTCTGTTTTATCAGTGACAGCCACACCTAATGCAAGATTAAAAATCTCTTCATAATCTCTCATCCCTGCCCGTGTCTAACCTTGTCCAACCCTACAATCCTTCCCCTAATGTTCATCTCACAATGGTGCCTTCTGCCTTACTCTTTTTCCAGTCTATCGTTTGTGTACATGCCTGAGCTACCCATGTCTTCTGCTCTTGATTTCCTCCCTTGACACTTCTGTCTCTTTCCTCTCTTTAAGATCCTTCAGCCAAGAATTTGGCCCCTCATCCATTTCTTTGGCTTAGCCTTCATCTGTTAGACAGTGTTTCTGTGGATCACCTTCTTTAGGGCAACAGGGTTTAGAGGACAGTTTTCTGAATAGGCAACTTGTGGTTATCATGCAGAATTGTTTATATGTGCATATGCTTATGAACAACAATCTAATTGAGCTCTTAAAATGATGTATTCAATGAGTAATAGATTTATGAGTGTGATTACAAAGCAGTAATCAGTACATAGTCTTGGATCAAGGTACAGTTTACAACTTGCCCATCAAATTCAGACATGAGTTCACTTTTAACGTCACTGCTGTTTGTATAATGTAAATATTATGGGATGTATATCAGACTGAGATTGACACTGACTGTCTGCATGTTATATTTCACTAATGATGGACTTGCCGAAGAATTAGTGATTTCAACGTAATTATGATGAACATATTCCACATTCATTTGCAGTTATTTCACATTGAATTGCATTATATAGCTTGTGTCCAATTTTGTTAGATCCAGCTGCGCATACTCTGAATTTCATGTATAACATAAAATTCAAGCAAAACTCCAGTTGATTTCACTGATGCAAGCAATTAGGATGACAGTAATGAGTTGGTTTGAAGTTATTAACTCTTTAAAGTACCAAAAATGAAGCTGTTACCCTGAGAGCCATCCGTTTCTCTTCATCTTTACTTCTCTCCCAACACTGCTTCCTAATATGAGAGAAGAACTGTACCAGGGTTTTCAATGCTAAGCTGAAACCAAGTTTGTAAATATGTGGAACTGGCTTACAGTAGCTTCCCCCCGAGCTGCTTATCCTTTCCCTTCTTTCTACCAATGTGGTGAAGCACATTCATCCAGGTCAGTGTCTTTCATGGCAAGATTGAGAGTTATGTTAGGAGCCATCAACAAAAATCCTGTTCTTCCATCCCTATAGCATGGGACTTTGGCTGATACCATTTATGTCACAATTCAGATTGTATCTGCATGCAGCAAGGTTTCAAATCCCTGCATTAGGTTTGACTGGACAAGCTGGTTATTGCTGAGTTTTCCCAGCAATTTCTGTGTTTGCTATAATCAGCTCTGAAGAAGGGTCTCTGGACCTGAAAACTGCGTTTTCTCCACAGATGCTGTCAGACCTATTGAATTTTCCCAGCAATTTCTGTTCTTATTGTTGTTGAAGGTGTTTGTCTTATTGCTAGATATAGCCGATAGAAACTACTGTTTTCAAAGCACCTTTTAGAATGTGGACAAGACAGAATGATGCAAGCTCCCTCAATGTATGAAGAAAAGAAAGACTTTCATTTAGGAAGTGCCTTTCTCAATCTCAGGACTGCACTTTTGCAGGGCAGTCATCATTGTATTGTAGGAAACATGGCACCCAATTTGCTCCCAAAATACTGCAATGTGATGATGACCAGGCAGTCTGTTTTGTGATGTCAATTGAAAGATTAAATGATTGGTCTGTATTCCTGGAAATTGCCCAACTCATCTAATGGAATTATGCCTTGTGAGCTTTTGTGTCCACCTGAGAGGTTCAATACAGTCTAGGTTTATCATCTCCTCTCAAAGGGGCATCTCTGACAGTGCGGCACTCCCTCTGTATTTATGGCTTCAAGGCTTCAGGTGGAATTCTACCAACTACTGAGGCTTTGAAGATCTGCATTTGGTTGATACTGGTCACTATCTCCTCTGGAATTGTGCTGTCACTGATTTCTTCTTTGACAGGCAGTTATTGGACGTGGTTGATGGTAATATCATGCTCAGTGACCTGGTGCTCAAGAGTGTTTCAAAGTGTTCCAACCAGTACTTCAGGACTTAATCCTTGTTGGTGTGTTGTGTCTTGCCATCAGGGAGTTCTAACTTTGAGATGCTGTTCCATAGACAGATTTTACCACTTGATAGAATTTCCTTATGCCACTAGCATCATGCTTGTATACACATATGAAAAGATTCAAGAATGCTTCTTCCCTGCTGTTATCAGACTCTTGAACAGACTTCTCAAATGTTAATTCTGATCTCTCTCTCTGAACCTTCTCTGTGGCTATAACACTGTGCTCTGCACTCTGTTCTGCTATGCTGATGTGCTTTGTATGGTATGATCTGCCTGGATAGCATGCAAACCAATACTTTTCACTGTATCTTGGTACATGTGACCATCAATCAATCAGGATTACCCTGTTTTTTACCTGCAGTATGTACAGATGATGTGAACCCACCAAATATGTCGAATCACCAGAGCCCCAGAGCAGCGAATCATTGCATTGTGCTCAATGTGTGACTGACATAATTAACTATTCATAGAACAGAGGTCAATATTGATGAGCATTGTGAAAATTCATCAAAAGCTTGTGTATTTTCACGGTGAATAATTTTGTCAAATAGTTAATTCAGGTGCCATCGATTGTTTTTCAGGTTTTCCGCCTTTGCTTTGGGTCATATCCTTCTACTGTGGACAGTGGGCTGGATAGTGAAAATTGGGATGCATTCAATGCTGGAGAGAAACTATTACAGATTGAGGTAAGGAGGACTTCAGGTGGCATTCTTGGGCATATCAGTGGGAGTATGAAGGTAATTTCCTCCCCTGTTCGAAGTTGCAGATTTTAGAGATACTAAGGAATATGAAACAGCAATTTGAAGCCACGTCTGTCCTGCTGCTTGAAGATTTACATACTGCTTGATGTAAATATTACAAAGTCCCTCGTGGTTTTGTGTGGCAGTCAGTGACATGATATTTGTGACTGATATTTGAGGTAATGAGTTGTACAGTACTTCCAGTTGAGGTGTTTACTATGAGAAGTATACGTGGGAGGGTCAGTGGAAAGGAGATGAGCAAACTGTGTCACTTGTAAGATAACCAAACCTGAACGTGTGAAGTTAGTAACTGAACTGTCCAGTTTTGGATTATATTAGTTTGTAGCACTAAAGAAGTTGTGATGTAAACTCTCACTGTCTTTTCATGAAGCATCCTCATTGTCTGAAAAGACATGCACAGAAAAGACAATAAATATTCAGCTTGTCTGGCAGCATCTATGGAGAGAGAAACAGATAATATTTTGAATCTGCCTTGTGCTGTTGAAAAATAAAAAAAGTAAAGGTAAGGGATAGGGCAGAGCAGAGGTGAGATTAAATAATAAATGTTCTTCTTCCATTTTCACACAAAATCCATTGCATTTCTACCATTCTTCAGTTCTGAAAAAGAGTCATAGAGTCATACAGCACAGAAACAGACCTTTTGGTATCCAGCCAATCCATACTGAACTTAATCACAAATTAAACAACTCCCATCTGCCTGTGCTTAGCCCATATCCCTCTAAACATTTCTTATTCATGAAATTATCCAAATGTCTTTTAAATGTTGTGACTGGACTCGCATCCATCATTTCCTCTAGAAGTTCATTCCACACATGAACCACTCTCGGTGTAACAAAAAAATGCCCCTCAAGTCTTTTTAAAATCTTCTCTCACCTTAAAAATATGCCCCCAGTGTTGAAATCCCCCACACTAGAGAAAAGACACCTGTCATTCACCTTATCTATACCCCTCATAATTTTATAAACCTTTGATTAAACCTCTGTTTCTTTCTCCACAGATATTGCCAAACTCGCTCAGTATTTCCACCACTTTCTGTTTTTTATTTCGGATTTCCAGCATCTGCAGTATCTTGCTTTTATCTCATTGACTGAGGGCTGTTGATCATGATTTGGGCTATATATCATTATTGGGCTCATTCAGGAGTCAGGCCCCAATCATTTGGTAAGAGGTTTGAACCCCATTGTTCTGCATCACACTGTGGCCATTTTGCCAACTGACCTATTTGATCCCTGTCAACAGATTACCCACTGGGTTTAGCGGAACTGTGTAATGTGGCAACAAACTTTCATAGTTGTCAGCTGACATCGATGCACCAGTGAATTTCTCCAACACCATCTCCTTCATGTGGGGAATACAAATTCAAAGCAACAGAAATGATATGATAGAATTGTTTAAAGTTAAGAAAGGGTTGCACGGAGTAAATAGAAACAGACTGTTTTCAATGATGATAGAGCCTAGAATGATAGGACATAGATTTAATTTGAGAAAATCACAGTGTAACATATTAAAATCTCTGTAGAAAGGATGGGAATCCAGGCTAATAGTTAATTTTCTGTGTGCGAGAGGCTGACTGGCAGCCATTAACATTTCTCGCATTGCTGAGAGTGTTGTGCTCGCACTAGTGATGACAAGACTTAACCTTCTGCAACATGTTTATCGAGCAAATAATCAGCAAGATCAGGAAGTTTATTTGCAAAAAGGGAAACTGCGTGCATGATGCAGTTTAAAAAAAGAACTAATAGTGGAGTGATGAAATGTTACACTTTCATTTCTAATCATTCATCTGCTTCTCACCTGAACCTGTTGGACCATTTGCACATAAATTACAGCGAGTGCTGTTGGCCTTAGCATTAAATGAACATCAAATTGTGGCCCAATTTGGACCCTTTTTATCTGCTGTTAGTTTGCTGACTGCCAGTTTAGTATTGGCAGATTTATTTCATGATTTGAAGAAAGTGTTCTTCCCCAGAAGAAAGGTGTGTACACAAGAAGTTAAACCTTGGAGTTTGTTCCTTTGTTTTGCTGGATATCTTTGACAATAGGTCTTGAAACGCCTGTAAGTAAAACTTATCTATTTTTCTCAGCTGTTCAGTAATTCAGTAGCAATTTGTAAGATGTTGAGTTTTCTGCATACATTTACTTCTTAATACATTCAAATAAAAGTCATGCAAGACAAGGCTGCGCAGATGAAATAAACTTTCTGAGCATATTTGATCATGACTGCAAGCATCTCACATATGGTGTTGGCAGGGCTGGAGAGTGGAATGTTATTGCAAATTTTTGCACCAAATATGAAGGAGCATTTACCATTTTACTTACCATTCCTAGCGTCAGCCCTGACTTGAGCAGCTATGCTAAAGGTGAGGTGAAGGAAGCATAGAGGCTGTATTCAGAGCACTGAGATGCAAAGTGATTGGAGCAGAACTTCCATCAGCTGGTGGCAATGATGAGGGAGGCAACTGAGCAAGGTAGCTTGAAAAGTTGGGTGGTCAGAATGGAAAGGTGTCTTTGTGGGAGCAAGGCCTTGTAGTGGGAGAAGGATCAGACGGACAGTCAGATGCAAAACACAGGCTTAATCCTAGTAAATGCCCTTACATTTACAGCATGAGTGAGCCGGATGGTAGTACTATGACTGAGACTATCTTCCATTTCTAGATTTATTTATTAAATTCAAACTCCATTGGCTGTTGTAGTGGGAATTGAACCCATGACCCAATGCTTGTCGTTCTGGTGCAGAGGCATTACCAGCACCATCTTCCCCTAAAGTGTAGCACATTCATCATGGTAAAATATCCTGAAGTAGGTAATGAAACAGTATGAACACCGCTGAATGAAAGGGGATATGTTAGCTACGGTGAGCAAAACCTTGGCTAAAGAGGAGAGTAATGGTAAGAGAGGAGGAAGAAATTCCAGAACACAGCTCGATACAGATGTAGACACAGTTACCATTGTGAGGGTGAAGGATGTCATGGAGATACAAGAAGCCAGCACTGGAGGATCCGCACCTTTCTGAGGGCTGATTGTTGAGAGGATGTCATACAGGAAAGAGAGGTACAAAGTGACAGAAGGATTTGAACACAAGGATGTGAACCTCAAACCTGAGGCATCCTTGGACCTGGAGTGAAAGTAGGTGAATGAGACTTGGAATAATTTAGGATAACAAAGCATTGGGTGTGAAATAGGAACATGAGAGCAACAACCTAAGAACTGAATTCAACCGCGGCAGCGCCTTTTCACTCTGAGGATGGGATTTAGGTCCGGGACGGCCCATCATAGGGTCTTTTAGATCTTTTCCATTATCTACAAACAACTTCGTGTGTATTGGTTATGTTTCTTCCAGCATTGCAGAATGCTGTCTTCAGTATAAATTAATACAGAGTTCACATCACTTGCACTGTTACAGATTTACCATCATTTGAAGCATTACTGCAGTAGTGACTTGTAGCATATGAAGAAAATGAATTATAGCTGGAATGATATAATCCTCCCAAGTACTTTGCCAGTGTGTGCTTTTCTTCATATCTTAACTTGACGGTATGACACTGTCCGCCATTAGCTCACCAAATCAATTCTCTTGTGGTAAAGGTTATCAACACAAATGAAGCATTTCTCTACATTGTGTTTAGAAATTCTATGAAAACTCGTTCAAAAAATTGATCCGAAGCACATTTTAATGTGGTATTTATTTTGAACACTGTTGATATTATAAGTGATTTGGACAATTACAATATCTTCATTTTGTCAACTGCGACTGAACAGCTTGTGGCGTCCTTGCAGTTTTGGTGGTCACTCTATTGCCCTGGAAACTGCATGTAGAATGAAACTGATTCCCCGTTCTGATGGCTGTACTGACAGGTTCATTGGAAGGAGGGTGTATTTTTTGTTGCAATGGGGATTATAATTCCTCGTCCTTGACTATGTCATTTTATGATTGTCAGGAAGTGATGATTTCAGTGAGTTACCTCTAAACGCACACGTGTTGCAGCTTTCTGCACAAGATATTTATGTTTCTGAGTGAAACATTGTAAATGTGTCACCCAAGGAGCTGCACAGAACAGCAAGTTTGGTCCTTGATGTGTTTTGAGTTTCCTGACCTAACCTGAGGGGACAGTTGGGTTGCTGACAGGTAAAAGTCCCTGTGCAGACAAAGTTCCATCTTCACACTGCAGGTTTCTTCTCTGTATGGCATTAGCATTGTATTAAACGGGACAGATTCAAATCAAATCTTACATCCTTCAAGCCACCACAGTCTGTATTCTCATGGCCTAGCGTATGCCTAACTCAGTTATTATCAAGCCAAGGGACCAACTTTGGTTCAATGAGGTGTATAGGAGAACATTGCAAGAGCAGCACCATGCATGTCTGTAATTGAGGTACTAACCTGGCAAAGCTGCAACATGGGACATACCTGCATACTAAGCAACAGAAGCAGCATGATGGAGATGAAGCTAAACAATCCCACAACCAACAGATCAAATCTAAGCTCTGCAGTCCTGCCACAGTCAGTTGTTAATTTTTTTTTTTAATTCACTTGTGGGACATGGCCAGCATTAACTGCCTGTCCATAGCTGCCCTTGAACTGAGTGGCTTGCTAGGCCGTTGAGAGTCAACCAAGTTGCTGTGTGTCTGGAGTCACATGTAGGCAAGACGAGGCGAGGATGGCAAAATGCAAGTTTGACCATCTGCCACAGTGGGATTTGAACCCAGGTCCACAGAACATTAGCTGAATTTTTGGATAAATAGTCCAGAGATAACACCAGTAGGCTGTCACCTCCCCAACAAAGGAAGGAGAGAGTTCACAGCATCCCAAAGCCGTTGACCCCTAACTGTCTCCTGGGCAATTAGGGATGGCTACTAAATGCTGGTCCATGTCTTGTGAATGAATATTTTAAAAAATTATGAACAATGGAGAATAGGCTGAACTG